GTTGATAGATACAAACAGATAAATGAAATTCACAGAACACTGGGCCTAAATGTTATAATTTTATTATGTTAGGTTATAATTATACTCCAGTGCGTTCGAAAACACACCAGTTAAAATTTACTCTTCTGACCACGTGACCATATACCCACTCTCACCCTTGGGTAAAATTTAACCCTTTTTCGAACGCACTCCAGACTTGACCTTTTCACAATTTATTTTGGTTAGCCTTACAAAAAAAAATTAAATAAATAGGAATAAGAGAAAAATTCAGCTTCCTAGCGGTGGTGCTCGGGCACTGCATGCCGAACCCAACTTCATAGGCTTGGCAGACGATCTTCGTTGTATCTTATTCGTGGCAGACTATTATGTTTGTGTTTGTTTCCATAAAAAGAAGCATTCTAATTAATTTCAGCCTTGCGAGTATATTTTTTTTTTCAATTTTTTTTGCGCTTACTTATATGGGTGGCAGACGTCTTTTGTTGTGGAATTTAAGAGGCAGACCATATTTTCTGAGCTTTCTATGTTTCTACCAATACGTACAATAAGTTTCGCTTATGCGGCTTTAAGTTTTTTTCTTTCATTTTTTGCTGTAATTGTAACCCTCCTGTAACCCCCTATCGTGTTGTTGCGCCGGCAGACGTTCATATTACTATCATATACTAGACGCATAACACATACAAAAAGAATGAAGCTTGCGGAAATGGTACAATGAAATATGTCGTTAACTCCCGGACTATGAGCTCCTTCTAATCTTTTATGCATTCCATACCTATTTTAATCAAATATTGTTCAACCTTCGACAATGCTTCAATATTAGCCCTTATTCCGCGACAGTGAAAATTAATCCTTTCTACTAATATTTCCTCAGTGTCATTATTGTGTCAGAGCTAGTTCGTCCCTGGCAACCTAGAATGGTTTAAAAGGGTCCATTTTAAGGGGTCTTATCTAGTATCCATCATATTTGAAGAAAAAAAAATTACACGAAGTATTGTGAAATTTGTTGACAGAATGGTGAACTGGTTGTTCAATAGTTCAAAGAAGAATATTGTTCAGTATCCAAATTTTTTAAAAAAATTAAGCAACTTTCCAAAAGCCAAACTTAATTTAAATAAGTATATTAAAGGATTGAGATTCAAAAAAAATTAAATAGATACCCACGATGGAATTTACCTAAGTATAAATGCTGATGTCATCATAATAATAACCTTTAATTCTTCAACTCAAAGTCAATCAAATCAATAAAATGCAAATTTATAAATGCTGATGGTAATAAATAATTCCTAGGGAGTTATAAATATCAAAAACCTGAAATTAAGGATATCGGGGAGAGCTCTACCGTCTTACCTGTAATTAAAATTCAACAAATCTATATATATAAAAATTAATGCCACTTTTCGTTGTAATTTTATAACTCAAGAACGGGCTCACCTAGCCAAACCAAATGTTTAGGCTTTGTTCGGACTATTTATAAGATGGTTTATGTGAAGTTTGCACAAAATCGGTCGAGCGGTTCTGCATTTATCACATTTTTTGTAATAAATGGAGGATCATTTTGTTAATCGGGATTCTGCTGTCAAAATGAAACTTTTTTCAGCGTTGACAGTACCAGCATGTTGTTATGTCATTAATGTGGTCATTTCATGACTTATTTTATCTATTCATGAAAAAAATTTAGTAAGCCCGCATACGGCGCCATCTCTTATAACCGATACCAAGTTTATTTTGTATTTTGTATTTTGTATACCGCGCCATCTCTGATACCTGGAACGAAGCTCGCCATTGCAGATACAGTAGAACAATGCTGCTCAGGAACTGGAACTATTTCGAACAGAACTATTCCACTATTCCGATCAGATAGAGTGGTGCAGAATGAGTAGATCAGATAGAGTAGTGCAGATAGAGTAGAACAGATGGAGTAGTGCAGTGCATGCAGTACAGATAGAGTGAAACAGGGCTGCGCTAGAGATTTTTTTTGTTTTCTTTACATTCTTTGAACATTCCTGTGCCTGAGTTTATTTATTTGGTGGTACACTTGACAAGAATAATGCCCACAAGCTGCCCAAAAAAGGATGATGTAAAATTTTAATTTTAGGTGACTTCTGATCCAGAGAGTAAACATTAATTTTCTTCAACCAAAGCCAAATTCACCATCGAAAAAAACTGAATTTAATTCAGCTAATAGATACGTTAACACAACATTTAATAGGTATATTTAATAATTCAGAGGCGGTACGAAGTTCGCCGGGTCAGCTAGTGTAAACATAAAACTGAACTTCAACTACCTAAAGATTTTACATTGGTTTACCTTGTAAAACTACCACCTTACTGATTTGAAATTAAAGGTTGAATTAACCTCTAAAGGTTAATTAATCCACTATATATTATATCTATCGGTACTCGATATGAAAGAAATAAATTTGTAATAAATATAATAACCCATAATTATTAGATACTAGAATAAGAATACTAGATAATGATAAAGAAAACGTTAATGAAGATAAATATCTGATTATGATAATGATTAATTAATTAATTAAATTAATAATTATATTTTTTCCATAGCTACTGGTAAAGTTGCCTTTAATCTATTAAAAATAGTAGATAAAGTGGAACTTTAACCGCAAGGGTAGATTAAATACCACTGTAAAATCAAGGATAGATAAAGTTTTTTTATTTATTTGTCAAAGTTTGTCAAACAAATTTCTACTTATGCAAAAGTGTTCGACTCAAATAATTTCTAAGTTTTTTCGAAACTACGCGCGTCCGTAATTAGGCTATGGAAAAAAAACTTTGTTTTACACGACGATAAAATACCATTATCTTGTATATCTTGTATAAAAAATAACTATTAATCAGTAGTTAGCTATTACAGCTAAATACTACTATACGGTAAACGAGTCGGTAAATGCTTTTACAAAGATATTAATTAGCTAATGAAGCTAAACGATAGGAGGCAATAGAAAAAAGATAGTAATAAGTAACGGTAATTAATATTCACAAAGATATTAATTAGCTAATTAAGCTAATCGATAGGGGGCGATAAAGAAAAAGCTAATAAAAATTAACGGTAATTAATATGGCACATTTACGGGACCCATAGGTAGGTAAATAATTATACAAGCCTGGACGGAGTCCTTGGAAGTTTTAACAAATTTGAGATCTGGAAGTACCAAATTGGCTGGAGGCAACCAAATAATGGTTGGAGATCTACTTCTTACAGGACACCAACATTCCTTGAAAAGGGGGACCCAGATTTACTTTGAGATGCCGAACAGCATGGTCTCAAATTGGTCAATTTTCACTTGGATAAGTGCAGTCAAGGATTTTTTCGTCCAGTCCAAAGTGCCTGAATGAATTTAGGAAATATAAGGACTCATTCTTAGAGAGAAAAAGGAATTTACATACCTGTACGGCTGATATTAACCTCACTTTCCAAAATCTTTCCAAAAATCAACAATCGGTCAATTTTCCAAGAAACTATCTAGCGGATACGATTACTCACTCTTCTGGCAAGGCAATTTATCAAACTATGGGCTCGATGGCCAAAAATGAAGACAAAATTTTAAGATTTTTAAAATTAAGAATATGGACGACCGTTTCAGTCCCACAACAAAATAGAAAAGGCCAAGTCAAAAGTACGTGCTGTCTATTCTTTCTTGGTCTGTCAAGCCTGTCGAAATTATAAAAATGACAGCGCTACAGGTTTCTCGGAAATAACCGTAATTATAGGTATTAGGTTAGGAAAACTAGTCAGAGACAGAAGAATCATAGATGTCGCTAGGTGTACGAAATAGTATTTTTAAATGAGTCAAAAATATATGAAATTAATAGACCTATCTATTTTTACCTGGTATGCGCGCGCAACACGAGGCAGTGCCTTTTTATTGGCTAACTAGTACAGGTGTAAAATGTTCGTTTTGCACGTTGAGCATCTCTTTGTCCCTGTTCATCGCCCGTGGTCTGATAAGGATAAAAGTATAGTTGATATTCAACTTGACATAGCTTGACAAGTGACATTCTAAAGTTGTTTGAAATTTTCATTGACAAATACGTTGCACAACACGCGGTCTTTATCCTTCCCTTTTTATTCCGTGTAAATAAGAAGGACGGATTGCTATACGTAAGTCTAACATAAATTGATACGTTTTGCGTCGTCTTGCGCAATGAGAGTTCTGTGTCTCTTTTTATCCAATAAAGTTTTCGTATTATTACCTCTTTGTCTGGTAAAATAGATAGGTTTATTAAGAACAATAAATATATTGTTGTGACATTTCAAATGTTACAGCTGTCGCCGGCAAAGCTATAAATTGGATTAGAAGTTCGACCTAGCAGATCGAAGATATATAACAGCAAGATGGTGGGGGACAGAATTCGTCCCTGGGAAACCTCGACGTTGGATTTGAACCTCTCTAAGCTGTGTCTATCTATGGTGACCTGAATGGATCGGCCTTTGAGAAAGCTGCTGAGCTATGTAACGAGAGTCGGTAGAAAGCCATAAGAGCACTGTCGAATATCTTTGAAATGTCCAGGCCTTTTGCGCAGGATTTACCATGTTTCTCGATAGCCTTGGTCCACACATAGGTGACATAGGCCAACAGATCCCCCCCTGATATGTTTTGTTTGTAGAAGCTGGACATATTTGTATCACTGAGAAAAAGTAATTTTTTCGTGCTAGTGAAAGCAATCATTTTTTGAAATTGGAAGCCTACACAAACTGCACAACGTTGAATATAAATGATAAAATTAAACTTGCGCTCATTTTTTGTTTAAATAAAAAATAGGTACTTGTCTCTTGTTATCGTAGGAGATAGATTGATAGATGTTCTTGAACATGCAAAGGCTCACTATAACTATATATAACTATGTATACTTATTTTAAAATCCTCCATATTCAAGTTGAACTGCTCTAATTTCAATATTAGACATGCTCTGAACAACTATATTCAAAGCAGTAACCTGAACTGTATCTAATATAAAAAAAATATATATTTATTAATTAGGTTACCGGTGGACGTTTATACAGAAAAGTGGCGATACCTTGCAGACCTCAAAAAACCTTCTCACTTCTGGTCCACGAAATACCCATTGACCTTCCAGAGGATGACATCAGGGCCAGTTTATACAGATTCGCTTCCGTGGTAAGTTAGGCACATAACTTTTATCCATTATATTCTAAATACGTTAACAACTTGTGAAATTTGCCGTACGTATTGTACTTTACGGATGGAAGTTTGGAGAAACTTCTGAGGCACGTGCGGATAACTTTTAACGTGAACCACAATGCAGCGATTTGAATTGATCAGATTTAAAAGCCAAATTGTTAACGTAGTTAAACTCTGCTTAGTAATTTATATGGAACCACAATTCGTGTTTCTTATTATGCCTCTTTTAAAACCAGAAACTTAAACTACCTGCAAATTAAATAAAATTATACCATTATCTCTATATCCCCTTCCCCAGTTTTTACTAAATTCCACATGTCACATAGTTAGAATTTCAACTGGATTGTTTCTGGAAAATTAAATACAGTAACGCTACTCTCCTCCAAACGTGTTTGAATGCGTTCCACGTCCACCAGGCGAATATGGATTTTTGCATACGACGATCCTATTTACCGTTTGGAGGAGCACTTTCGGAAACATAAACAGAACACGGCGTCCCGTAAGTGTATTTCTTGCATTTGGGCGTGCTTTGAATAGTACAAAAGATACTCCAGTATAGCGAAATTTAACAAGAAAACTTACCTTTGTTAAGAGTTAAACGGATTTGGAGATATGCCAGTGGCGGCTCATTATGGTCCGAAAAATAGGCAAAACTAGTTTTCTTCTCAAAAAAGTATAGTACATGAAAAACTACTGATCCAGAGCGTCCAGAAGCAAATTCTACAGTAAAAACAATTTAAATAATGAAATATGACAATGAAACCCTCCAAGGGCTATAGGGAGTGTGTGTATAATACTTGATTGAGCACAAATAAAAATATTATTCAATAAGGGTTGAAGCTATTTTGTTTTCAGCAATTATATATATTTTTGCAGAAATCACTATTAAAATAATTAAGTAAATTTCAGAGGAAAAAAAATTGACAGCATTTGCCTACCATAAAGACTTTCTGAAGATTTCCTCAGAACTTCCGATTTCACCTCAACACTCTTTATTTTAGGTCGAAGTCACCAGACTTCAATCCCGTTTAGAACAACCACCAGGCACACCAAATCCTATAAGAATTACTGTGGCCTCGCTAGATGAGTACAACACCCTGTTGCAACAAGGCTTAGATTTCTACGGTGCTACATATTTCCCAACGGAACCTTTGAAGAAAGACATGTTGAAAGGTAGCAAAGAAGGCCTGTTGCCGGTTTTCGATTCGGCGGGGTTCTCCAGGATTCCGCCACCGCCCAGTCGTACCCTCAAACCGCAACGTTCCTGAAAGGCAAACACGAGATTCGAAGGACTATAATAGAATTTTTTAGGCGCAGGCTTTAACTTATTGTCACTTTATAAAATTTGTTTTTTATGTCATAAATAAATGGTGCACATTTCAATAATAAATGTTTAAATTAATTTCAAAATTAACTCGACTGTTTGCTTGTTCTGAATTTGTCGTTTATTTACAGACATCTAATTCTTGAACTTCCTTTTATGTGAATGAATGTTCCGCCGAGAAAAAGTATCATTATTCAAGTAACTTAAATGGAAATCTTTTTCATTGGCGCTCCATTGCCGAATTAAGTTGAAAAATTATACCTGTTAAATAAATTGAATTACCCTTCTCAATGTGTGTTTCCCATCGATAAACTTTACTCTTCTAATTTACGTCAAGATTATCTGTTTTAGGCTGTTTGTTTCTATCTATCCTATTAAGATCATCGCCTCATCCCATCTGAGGCCGTCATATTGTTCGATGTCCCAAATAATATTGTTCTTTTATTCTCCTACGTTGGCTAATGCCAAAACTCCATTGCAACCTTTTGATGTATTCCCCAGCATCAGAAATTTTGTTCTTCTGCTTCTGATCCGTTCAATGTTCAATGGTTTTTCGATGAATTATTGTGTTTATCAAAAACTCGGCTATTCAAGTATTGAGGCATCTCGAAATTTCCAAGTATTCAACTTAGTTTGCTGAATCCTACCCATATGTCAATCGCCTTCTTGTGGATATTTCTGCTATCACATTTTGCTTATAGAGTATTTCAATATTTTTCCTAGGCATTTATATTCTTCGAACTTGTCTAGGGACTAGTCGTTTATTCTTATGCTTTCAATTTCCTCCATGAATGCCTTCTAGATTTTCATTTGAGTCCTATCTTCACTGAGACACCACTATTTAATCAGTTGTCCGTTTATATTGTATAAGTTATTCAAATGTTGTAGCGACTGTAACGACATTATTATCGCCAAACCTGGATTTATTTTCAGCCATTGATGGTAATTCCATCGTCATCCATTGTTATCTCAAAAAGTCTTGGAGACACTTAAAAAAAAAACACTAATTTATTTTAAGATACAGGTTACAATTATTAAACATTAACTTAACTAACTTAATAATGACGATTTAAACTAAAGAGACAGGGTCTTTTATATTTTAAAATATGTTGATCTTGCTGTTTCTATGGAAGCGTTGCAACGATGGAGCAGTTCTTGGCATGACATGTTCAGACAGGATAACTTACTGAAGAAGCGTCTAGACTTTGCGATAGATTTTGTACGACCGTGGTACTGAGACACGTCTGGAGGTCATTGTAGTCGTGAAATCTATATAACAGGTCCCCCATTAAGTAAAAAGTTGGTGCTTTGCAGCAATTTTTTTTTTTAACCAACTGTGTTGTTGTGTAGACTGGTCATCTCTGGTTCTGAGGGCAGATTTGGGTGAACAGTGTTTCTTTGTTTCGGTAAAACCTTTCGAAGGTTGTTGCCTATTTAAAAACTAGAATTGAGACTTCGGCGGAGGTGGTTCGTCTCCGTCGAGAGGGCTAGGTTTAGCGGGTGCCTTTCGTCGACATTTACAACAAATTGCAAGGGCTGCTATTAGTACGATGATGAAAAAGGTGAACCATTGACTGTGTCTTGATACGAATGGTTCTTGGATTAGTTTATCCAATTTATCGGATAATTAGTTAGTCTATGCTGTGCCACGTTAAGATCATCAATGTTGATTTTAGATGAAGATTCACTGGGAGGTGTTTGCAGCAGTCATAGGGAATTTCGACTGACTGGTTTTTATAGGTGAAGTTTCTGTATTTTGCCGCTAGATTCCTAGTATAATTCTGGAGTTTCCTACAAAGGCATTGCATGTTGGTTGGAGCTTGAGCACTGTGTTGGTGTTGATTGTTTTTGTCACACTGTTTTTGCCATCACATCTGATCATGATTGGATGGGACGATGATTATGTTATGAGCCAGTGGTTTGTGTCTAGTTCTTTCACATTGTAGTCACTAGCGAGTAAGATTGAGGTTTGGCAGGTCTTGGGAAATGTCCCTGTTGACTTCAAGAGTTGGGCTTCGCAAATGGCATCGCTGTCTATAGGGTATTGTAAAAGGTCAGAACATATCCTTGTGATCAAAAGGTTTGCAGTGATCCAGGCTTTGGAGTAATATGTACAATAAAGAACCGTCATCTCTCGTGATATTTTTTTGAGTTATTGTTAAAATATGATGAAAACCTGTTCGACTATCCAAAATCGGGATAAGGTTGATGTGATAAAGAGTGTATATATCAGGTTCGATCAGCGGTATTCTAAGAATAAAGACAATTTTACCTTCTGATTGATAAGCTTCTAAATCAATTATATCCAGGTATCGTGCTACATATGGAAGATATGTAGGTAAAGGAAGGTTATTTTTGGATAGAGAGCGCGATTTTTCCTATAAGGAGGCGACCAAGTCTCTAGGAGTTATAATTGAGGTATGTAAGATCTTTAAACGTGCAAACGTTATTGCTTCTAGAATGTCATTAAGGGAATTTTCCAGAAAGGCGTAGCTCTCCATTAATGATTCACAGAGGTTTAGGGTTCTGGTTTGGGCTTCGTAAAACTTTTAATCGTTCGAAATTTCAGATAAGAATTCTCTGCTATATCGAGGTTGAAAGTTTCTGCATTGATTTTTTGGAGTTGCTGAATAGTAGAATTAATTTTTTTTATTACTGAGGTGGTTACAGAAATTTGGTTTTTGTGTAAACTTTCAACTCTCTCTGTATTTCTCTCTCTCTGTATTAATTTTGTCAATACATTTATTGAAGTATTCACGATCGGTAGAGTCTAAGTTTCCGGTAATTGATTTAAAGATACTTCCTATTCCGTTAATTAGTCCACGTTTGTTTCTATAGTTTGGGTCGCCAGTGATTTCATTAAGTTTCTGGTCGACTGAATCAGCAACTTGAGTTATAAGGCTGAAATGAGTTTGAACTTCAACGTTGAAGGCTGAATTCGAGGAGAAGGGTCATAATTTATTTTGGTCAGGCTAGTGAGAATCTTTTTGTTGTTCTGGATAGTTTCTCTGAATGATTCTATTTCTTTGTAAACTAAAAGGGTCCATTTATCATTTGAGACTCTAAAACTACCTTCTTCGTGATAGAATATTCCAACTGTGTTGTTAATTGTAGTTAGAAGAAATTGAGAGGTGACGACTGGAATCAGCCCGACTAGACTGGAAAAGAATAGACTAGTCATAGAACGGCTTAGTCTATCAAAGTAGCTGGGTTTGAGGTTTTTCACTTTTGCCGAGTTTCTGTAAACTTCAATTATTTCGAAAGGTCCGTTAAAAATATTTTGAGATTTGTCTTTTATTTGAGTTGTTTTGACATACACCTCGTCACCTGTTTTATATTCTGGAAGATTTTGTGAGACCGTCTTGTCGAACCTTACTTTCGACTAGATATCGGTTCTGGCTCGAGCTATTCTATAATAATATTCCATTCTATTGTTGAGGCCTCGTATGTATTTGAAGATTAGCCTGTTCTTTGATTATAAAGAGTTTCGGGGGTTCTATTCGACGTATGGCCAAAAATTAATTCGAAAGGTGTGAATCCGTGTGTATTATTTTTGGTATTATTATAACAGATACCTGCCTATGGGAGAATGTTGAATGGGTGTTCATCTGGATGTTCCGCTTTATGAACGTGAATCATCTCCATTAATGTTAGATGGAATCTTTCCAGCGATTCGTTGGATTGTGGGTGGCTTACGCTTGGCTTGGGAATGTCAATTTTATCGTAGAGTTGACAGAGGTCTTTGAGTAAGGCATTATTGAATTCACCACCACAATCACAGTGAATTCTTGAAGGTGTACTGTAATGTTGGAAGAATACTAGTAGGGTGTTAACAATTGTGGACGCGTTTTTGTCTGAGATTGGGTGGGCTTTAGTGAATTTGGTAAGTTTATCCTTAACTGTTAGGGCGTAATTACGAACTGGGAATTCAAAAAGGTCAAAGTTTATTCTTTCATATGGAATTTTGGGAGTTTCAGTAATAACGAGAGGAGAACTAAGATTTTTCCTACGGATTATGACTTTTTGGCAGATTTCACAAGCTCTGATGAATTTCTCAACATCTTTGATTAAACCATGCCAGGAGTATTTGTCTTTAATCCTTCTAACGGTTTGATTGATTCCACGATGCAAATTTGTTTTTCCAGTATGATATTGCTATGGTCCAGGATAATTGGGATTTGGTCTTGATGGGTTTTGACGATATTTTGGCATATCTCAAGCTCAATGTCTTTTTCGGCAAATAAAGGAAAATATTCCAAGAATAGGTAATTCTAGATTGTTTTCTATGTTTCTTATTGATTTTCCCAGGTTTATACTCGATTTGATAGTCAAATTCTCCAAGTTTCAAGCGCCAGTGAGCTAAACGGCTTCCACGGTCTTTAAATGAGAAGAGCCAAGTTAAAGCGCGATGTTCTGTGATGAGGACAAATTTTTGACCAAAAAGATAGGGTCTAAAATGTTTAACTGCCCATACAACGGCCAGTAATTCTCTCTCTATGGTAGAGTATATAGTTTCGGCATTGCACAGCGTTCGAGAGGCATAGGCTATGGGGAGATCTTTTCCTAGAGGGCCTTGTGACAAAACTGCACCGATGGCAAAAGCGCTTGCGTCGGTAGTTAATAGAAATGTCTCTTCAAATTCGGGATATATCAGAATCGGATCAGAAACTAGTGTGTTTTTCAATTCGTTGAATGCGATATGCATTCTGGGTTGAAGTGAAATGGAACATCTTTCTGGGAGAGTTTTGTCAAGAGCATTGAGGTTTCAGCAAAATTGGGGATAAATCGACGATAATATCTTGCTTATCCTAGAAAGGATTTAATGTCTTGGGTGTGGGGAAGTTCTGAATACAACTAATTTTTTCAGGGTTCGGTTTTACGCCGACTTGAGTGATAAGGTGTCCCAGGTAAGCTACTTCTTTTCGAAGAAACTCTCTTTTGTCTTGCTGGATTTTTAAGTTAGCTTTACGGAGGCGTTTAAAAACTTCGGTTAGCCTTGAAATGGTGTGGATGGTAGGAGAGTAAACGATAATATCATCCATGTAGATTAAGCATCTTTCGTTTTGAATGCCG